TTATGGAAATAAATTTAATCATGCTTGATAACGACTTGCTAGTATAAGAACAACATGATTTACGTGAGAACGCAGGAAGGGTTGTATCACAACAAGATCAATTCCACCCCCTTTCTCATTCATACCGTAACTGTAAAATGGGCCATTTCATAGGCTTTGCCAGGAGACATTTCTGTTGTTCTCTTACCATCCCTTCCCTAACGGCAGGGTATTTTGCAGAATGCTGAACACTGGATGACTCTGAATTTAGTGATTGGGGTTAGGAAACTGAGTGAATCAAGTTCCACTAAGGGTCATTAAAACTAAAAAAACAGACCTGAAACATAATTCACCCAGTTTCCTAACCCTAATCACCAAACGTCAGAGTCATTCGGCGTTCTACATTCACCGAACGCCAAATGCAGAACTACGAATGACTCTGAAGTTTAAGTGAAGAGGGTTAAGAAACTGAGTGAATCAGGTTCCATTCAGGGTCGTGGTACTAAAAAATCTGACCTGAAACTTGATTCACTCAGATTCCTAATCCTAATCACCAGACTTCAGAGTCATTCGGTGATCTGCATTCGGCGTTCTGCAAAATACCCCTGCCGCTTCCCGAAGTCGAAGGAGTCCAATTTTTAATTGCTGCCAAAATGGCGCCTAACGCGATCGAATTTTAAACAATCAAGCGTTCTTATAAAACGCCTGCTCTACTCAGGCTTATTATTAAAAAGTTTAACTCAATAACACGACTGACATCACAAAGTTTGTTCAAGTTCTGAATTAAATAACAAAGCAGGGTGGAGATATTCATGTTTTTCTCGGGCTAAAAACAACATATTTCGCAGCCCTGGTCTGTTCCTTAGCAGCATTTTAAGTCTCCGGGAAAACATGTCCCAATGAGCAAAATAAAGATACTCAAGCTAGATCGAAGATATAACACATTAAAGCCTACCTCAGGGAAGGAACACTAACTTTTCCTTCGATGCAAAACGCTGCTATCAACATTACAGGGAAAGCCCCAGCATTTCGCAGAAGGCAAAACACAAGTGGATCGGCTTTGCTATCTTTTGCAAAAACAGTAACAATCACGCCATAAGCTCCAAACCCGAGCGGAGCAGCGACCAGAGCACACCATACTGGCGAAATCATGCTTTTATAACAACGTTTTTCAGGTTATAAACCTTATAAACCTCATTAGCTTGCTTTCTGCTCGCTTGTATTTGCTTTTGGGTTTCACTTCCTTCTTCATGTAAGAGGTAGAGTCATGTCACTACTGCTTCCAATTAACAGCCCCCCTGACTTTTTAGTGGTGTCTTTGGTTAGGCCGGGCGACGGTGGAAGTCTTTCTAGATCATTGTGAGAGGAATTGAATTCAATTGGGTATTTCAAACGATACCGGGGGCGAGCAAGTGATAAACTAGGTTGGCGAAAGAACTTAAGAAAACAAAATGACTATAAAACAAATGAATGAAGTGACAGAATTTATATAGTTATATAGACCTTTTTTTATGTAGGGAACAAAAAAATAATACATTCTCTTTAGAGAGGGAACCAAGCAAACATTGGACTACGAGTAGTCCCTGTATTTCCCTCAGGGATAGTAGTCAACCGAAATGCGAGCGCGCGTGACGCCTCTCTCGCGTGGGGTGATTTTCACGCGCTCTTGCGTTTCGCTCGCTCTACTGATCCCTGAGGGAAAATGAGGGACTACTCGTAGTCTAAACAAGCATCGGCTCCAGACACAAAGTAGAATAAGCACTCAGCTATGAGCCCCTGACTCGAGCTCCTTACATGTCGATTATACAAAGTAATCCCTTCATTATGCTGCTCACTTTTCGCTGAGTTTCACAAAAAAACAGAAAGAAAGTATACAAAGACGAACTTGCGTACCTGAAAAAATGTAGAAGATTAATAAAACAAACAACAAAATAAAACAAAGGCCAAAAGAAATATTAAGCAAACAGGAAAAGAGCAAAATCACCACGGCAAGTAAATAGAAAAGTCATGATTAACCGGGCCAAACCTTGAATAAGGCGAAAAGCAATGCGAAACTTCTTGGCTTGAATCCCGGGGGGATCTTGGCGAGAATCTTGAAGGTGACCCTTTGTCATAATAAACCGGGCCAAACCTTGGAAAAAGCGAAAAGCAATGCGAAACTTCTTGACGTGAATCCTGGGGGGACCTTGGTGAGAATCTTGGAGGTGGCCCTTTGCAGGGATCTTGGCAGAAAATTCGACGGGGGCTCCAAACAAGGAACTTGGCGGGAATCGTGACGGAAATCCTTACGGGGATCTTGGCGAAAAACCTTGGCCGGAAATCCTGGGCCCAGCTGTGCGAAGGCTGATCAGCGCTAACCAAGGGTTAAATTTTAATCCAAGTTTCTTTTTCTGTTGCTCAAAACCATTTTCTCGGAATATTTTCTCCATTATCTTTAGAGCATTCAATCATCAAATTATAGACAAAAAGAATTAAGCTAGCTGAATTTGCTTTTTTTTTCAAGCATTCATAGCTGAATTCAATTTTCGCACAAGCCCTGGGTTACTTAAACAGCTTTGAACAACCGGGGCCTGGCGGGAATCTTGACGGGAAATTCCGGCGGGGGAATCTCGAATCAAAAGACAGTCGTCTTCGCGTAACGCGTGCGGCGGGAGCAGGGGGTGATGCTTTCCTCCTTCCCATCACACCCATTGCGCCACTAAGAAGAAACAGAGAGAGACGACTGGGGACGAGCCAGGTATTTAAGTGTAACTGTACAATAAATATCACAAAATCAACCCACGCGGTCTCTTTGGGCATTCTCTGTTTTTCGTCATCCCTAGCCATTTCATACTTGTGGGCGTTAGGGTTGAAACGTAATCATTACCCAACTATTCCATGCAATCCCTGTTTTTAACAAACCAGTCTTTTTTCTGCTATACTGACTGCATATTTCAAAGGGGTGGGAGACCACAAGAGCGGGGTCCACGCGGTTTTATTGAAATAGCCAAACGTGCTATTTTTAGAACAAACTGCACCACCCTCAACGTCACAAACTCGCGCGGGAACCCGCGAATTTGCGCCGCTTTCGCATGGAATTTCAGGAGATGGGAGATCGTTTTGCGACTTTATTCGAGTGCACTCTGAACTCCGTCTCCACAGTGGAAAAATGAGCCAATGTTATATTAATATTACTAGAAATACGTTTATCTATTCACGTCCTATTTTTTTCTTTTTAATACAGTCGAACCTCTCCACAACGACCACCTTAGGGGATTTGAAGGGAAAACGGGAGGGGATTAGGGAGAGAGGGTAAGGGACCCTCCCTTCCCCTTTTCCCTTTCGAGCTTTTCTCCCTCCCCTTTGCCCTCTCTCCATTTTTGCACCTGCCAAAAAAGTATCGCGTGATATAGTTCAATAACATACTAAGGCACGTGGTAGAGCTCTACATAATTATCACTGTTGCTTGACCTATTGCCCGTCAAAATGGGTTGCACAGGGGGATCGATTCAAATGCCAATAGTGACTATTTTGCTAATAATTCTTTGGAGCTCGGCCGATTCCCGATCCAATTTTTACACGGATGCAGTTTGCACGATATCCGACCAAGATTTCACTGTGGTTTTCCTAAGCGAGCCCCCGTATGTGTTGGATAACTCTTTAAAAATTGGTAATGGTTTTATCTACGATTACGTGAAGGCTGCTTTAGTCCATTGTTCTGCACAATACCGCTGCAACACGAAAAATATCATCTGGAAGAAAGTTGCGACGCAATATGATTTAAGTGCGTACGTCCTCAATGGCACGGCAGACATCGCTATCCCGATTGCTCCGTCTCTCTCCGCTTCGTTGGATGAAGAGTGGGAGAAGTCAGGTAATGATCGCGTGACCCTAGTCGGAGTTTTAAAGTCGCCGGGTCTCGCCATGGTAATTGATTACAGTGCTTGTAAGGACCAGATCGCGAGCAAGACGACCGCTACAATATTATCTGCTTGGCCTATCTGTGCTGCAATGCTGCTACTGGCGGGTATTTCAGGCATCTCAATATGGGCATTGGTAAGTGAATTAGATACGGTTTTGAGTGGAAGGGGGGAGGGTTGCATTAGTGGACATGCTCCCAGTCGCTCCTGGGACAGGGTCGATGTACCCTGAACAGGAGTCCATTCACCGGAGCGAGCAACTCCCATACTAGGCCTATGGCTCATGGCGTTTTTACGGATCAGTTTATTTTTAGACACATTTTAGGGTACTTTTTCCCCCGAAAATAGAATCTCCGCCATGGCTATGAGCGCACTCGAAGTATAAGATATCAACTCCTGCCTTGAATCATGAGATGTTCTTCTTTCAATACCCAGTCTTGCGCTACCCGCACACCTCGTCACATACCCAGGCTTTTATTGCTTAAATTACGGTTATAGGTAGGGAACGAGTCTAGAGAAGGAGAGTCTCCCTCGATTCTTGTTAAATCCAGCTATATACAAATAGAACATACAATGATCAAGAATAAACCTGTTTATTCATTTCGTTTTTGTAACCTCGTGACCTTACTTTAAGGGTAAATTTTAATTCCTCATATGTCAAAAGGAAAAAGACTGAAGAAAAGCAGGGACCAGCAATAGATGTCCGCTTCATTCAGGTGTCCGTCTTACAGAAGTCCTCGCACCAAAGAAAAGAGTTGGCTGACGGACTAAAAAGACGAAAAAATGTATTATTGTTTTATTTTTGTTTAGTCATCTTTTTGCTTTTTTCAAGCTATAAGACAACAGACGCCTTTTAGTAGAAGCAATTAAGTCCATATAAAGACGAACGAAAACTAAACTTATATCCTCTTCAGGAAATGCATTCAGGGGAGCGAGAATTCCCGTCTTCCTTTGGAAGGGGATCATCAGAAGGATTTTGGTGGGCGTTTGTTACCATGACAACCGTAGGGTAAGAAAAGCAGCAGCTATTATCAATGTATTTGTGAGGTAAACTAGTTGAGGTTTGTTGCCTCAGTGCTCAGGTGAAGTTTCTATTATATCAGTATATTTCATTCCGTCATCTATCCTTATACCTCTCCATGTGAAATCACGAGGGTAGAAGGTCATATGCCTGTGAACCGGGATTCCTAACGGGGACAAAAGGTCCCTTACAAAACCTGAAAACCATGAAAACTTGTCTCCGCCAATTTCAGTCTGTGAAAAGGTGCATCGAACAATTGAATCATCGTATATAATCCCTCCCCGATCCGACCCGACTCGACCCGTCCCGACCCGACTACCCTCACCGCTCACCACACGGCTTACTTGATATCACTGTAACTGTCTTGTTTCAGATACGGCGACAAGGTTCCTCGGACACTCTGGGGTCGTTTGTTTAGCATATTATGGATGCTTATTGGCCTTTGCCTGGTTTCCGTTTTTACTGCAGCTATCACTAGTGCCATTACTGTTTCGTCAGTGGGTTCGGATTGTCAGAAAATCCAAGGGAAACAAGTAGGTCGCTTTTAATTTTCTTATAAGCCAAGCAGCATTGCAGTCTGGAACCCAGAATGTTTACCCTTGGAGTTTGGGGCCCCGTGAGGGAGTGTAGGTTTGTATGAATCAGTGCTTTTGAAGATAACTGAGTGGAGCCCCGTGGAGCTCAAGCCGTTTTCCTGAGTCGCTGGAACCAATTTTGGTTCCTGTTTGGCCCAAATTGGTTCATATACAGGGATTTTTCTTCGCTCCTATGAGGGATTTTTCATTCATAGAAATTACAAAGGGCGAGAAAAGCCCTTATGAGACAGGTGACCCAATGATGCCGGGGTCATTTGATATCTATTCACCCTACACCCTTGAGTACTTGTTGCGCACTTGTAAGTTTTTTTAAAGCCTAAGGCTCAGTTTTATTCCCTGAAATGTCCTAAAAACCAACAAACTGGTTTCTGAAACGTATCCTATCCTGGCGACTCACTAATTTTATCACAGCTTCTTTCGCAAGACCTTCCTGTTTTAAATGCACATTAATCATAGCAAGCAAAAAACTTTTTGTTGGCGGCCTTTAATTCTTACATCAGATAGCTGCATTAAATGGATCTGACGCTGAAAAGGAATCAAGACACCCTGGGGCGAATGTCACAGGTAGGTATGCTCTTTCGAAAATATAATCTTCTTATCCCAGACACATGCACAAGATAAGCAATCTTGCAACCTCTCCTAATACAAAAAAAGGTGTAGCGGTGAATCCTGGAGCCATTGCGGATCTTTGGGAACTCGGATTTTTGTCTCCTTTGCTCGTTGTGGCGTTGGGGGAGTATACCCATGGACCACCTACAGGAATGGGCCTCTGGCCAATTACAGTTGTGACTACGCTACCACTGTTAACCAAAGGGCCTATTACGTCTTTTCAGTATGTTAGATATCCCAAGATAATAAAACCAAATTTTGACTTCAAATATGTGACAATATTTTCCGGCAAAGACGGCAAAATGAAAAGAGCCCAAAAGGTAAAAGAATGAAGATATAATAAACAAGATAGATGACGATTTTTATACTGCAAAGTGACTATATTTTCAGTTTCATGTATTTGAGATCAAGGTCACAGTAGCTATGTATGCAATTAAAGCAGCTGCAAAAAGAAACCCTGAAAAAATTCGTGCTTGGTCGAGCTGCGAACCCATCACCTTATCGATACAGATGCAGTGCGATTATTACAAAGCTATAAAAGCCCTCATCTATAGTGCGATAGTGGCCAACAGGGAGCTGCTCACTTTGTGAGTTCGTAAGCTATACACTAAAAAAAAGCCTTATACACTATACACTATAAACTATTGAAAAAGGTCAGGATAATTGCATTTAAAGCATTTCTCGCCCTTTTGTTACTAAAACTAATTCAAGTGCCTATAAGGGAGATTTGCTCCGTTACCGTTTCTCCTCCATTGTTAATACCTAAGAGTTGTTTTACCTTTAAATCTTCAAAGTATACGAATCGGAAATGGCGATGTTCCAAAGCTTACAAGCAGGGCGGGTCGATGGTGCTATGTTGGATAGATTTAAAGCTTATTATTACTTGGATAAACTGAAAGACGACCGTTTAAGAGTGGCACTACAGATTGACAGTCCCCAGGAGTATAGCGTCGCACTGGTCAACAGAAGCGTCCCACAGCTCACGGCCAAGAATGGCTGCTTAGAAAAATATTTGGTTGGCTCACATAGTCACTTGCGGAATAGACT